TTTCTTTCTTTCTTTCTTTCTTTCTTTCTTTCTTTCTTTCTTTCTTTTGAGAGAGAGAGAAAGAGAGAGAGAGAGAGAGGGAGAAGTATGAAGTTAGGTGGGCACAGAGATGAGAAAATCTTGGAGAAGTTGTAAGAGGAGTAATATTATCAAAATATATGAAAAAATTTAAGTAAAATAAAAATATTTATAAGAGTACTAATTCTGAGGGTGGAAATATAGCTCAGCAGTTATGATTACTTACTTATTTTGTAGAAAACTTGAGTTAATTATACAGAACACATATCAAATGGCTTGTAATCGCTCTAGCTCCCGAGATCTAACTTCTTCTGGTCTCTGCACTAATATACATACTCTCACACAGACACACAGGTATGCACATATTTCAAAATAAAAAACCTTCAAAATACGCTTCTAGCTCTATTAGATTTTCCTCCTCCCTTTGTAATCTCACATAACTCTGACCAAATATGATGATGTTGGCATTCAGGGAGTTTAGAAGCTTGATCAGAGGCTAAATATCACCCTTCCACATAACCAAACAATCATATTCCTTGTTTTTATACCTAGTGAATTGAAAATATTTACACAATGAAAATGTCAGATTAGTGTTTACAAAATCATCATCCGTAGTAGCTAAACCTCTGAAGTAACCAAGATGTCCACCAAATAAGCAAGTGTATAAACAATGTGTGTTAAATCCACATGTGGAAATATTTAATTCAACGATTTTAGAAACTGAGCTAGCAAACCACAAAAATCATACAAATCTATGTGGTCCTCTTCAGTTGAACATGAGCCATACTTCTCTGGCATGCTTAGTTGAATACCCCAGAAGTTGTGGGATATATTCACATGATGATATGAATGTATAAGGACAAAGTATATGCTCTATGAGCTTTGCTGACACCCACAGGATAATTTCCATGCTTGCTTGATGACATCAAATGTTTGAAGCCTAAAGGTAAAGAAGGTATGGTGAGGCAGTCCAGCTGCTGCCAATCTCTCAAGGCAGTATAATCCATGAACCTGTAGTGGTATTCAGCTAACAGTAAGCAGGAAACCAGGGCCCTGTGAAGTGTAAACTCTAGACATGGATTTTACTGGGAAATTGAATAATTGATGAATGGTTGTTTTCTTTGAAGGTTTCTCAGAAACTGAGGAGTGGGCCTAGCTTAGTTGTCCTTGAACTATGAACCCAGGGAAATGGAGGTCATAAGAAATGTGCAATTTTGTGTAATTAAAATGGTATAAAATGAAAAAGGAGGAGGAGGGATGGGATGGGGGTTTCTTGGGGGGATGGGGAAAGGGGATGGCATCTGAAATGTAAATAAATAAAATATCCAATAAAAAATGTGCAATTTTTAGGCACTAAGTTTGTGTTAAAGATTTACATACAACAATAAAAAATTAATACAAATATATACCATGTGCTTATACTTTGTTTGGTTTTTGTTACTTAGTGGCAAGAGAGATAGATGAAGCGTCTGAGCTCCCAGGTCACAGTCCAAAGGGAAGATGTGTACTATGAATTACCACCATATGTGATAAGACAATGTTGGGAGTAAAGCGAGGCAGAGACCCATATAAAAGTGTCTCTGAGAGGCATTTCTGTACTCCATGGGGAAATGTCTGTGACTCGAAGGATGGTAAACAGGAAGAAATGGGAAAACTAGGGAGAAAACTGTGGAAAGATGAACCAGGGTTTAGAAGAGAAGAATTAGGAGCTTGATGGCAGAGAAAGATTAATAAAGAGAGAAAGATCCTACAAAACTGTTGGGGATTGGTTCTAATGCTTTGTCTTAGTTTGGCTCCCCAAATCACACAGGAATCTGTATGTCCAGACTCTGAGGGTCCCTGTCCCCAATCGTTTTTTGATTAATCAATAGAGAGCCAATGGTCAATGGCTGGGCAGGGTGAAAGAGGTGGAAGTTTTAAGATTCCAGGGAAGGAGGGAGACACAGAGGAGAGCATGGAACCACCATGACTGGGAAGCAGGAAGCAGAGTGTGTGTGTCCCAACTTTGCATTATCTTATGTTCAGTCATTATCGCTGAAGGACGTTTGTCTTTAACGGACTTGATTTTGTTCAAATCATGTGTGTGTGTGTGTGTGTGTGTGTGAGAGAGAGAGAGAGAGAGAGAGAGAGAGAGAGAGAGAGA